CGGACCCCACATTTCACATCAGATGGATGGGTGACTGGGTCGGGAGGAGGATGGCTTGCTAGCAGGATATCAAGGCAAACATGGTTTGTATTACAGCAACACTAAGTCTGCACAAAAAACAAGCGTTTTACAAGAGGGTTTTGTTATATCTGTTTGTAGCGTTAGGTCTCAAGCACAAATATAACATAGATAAGTAAAAACCAGCTTAAACAAGCCCTGTTCTGGTCAACTGTGCCCTTCGCTTATCACTCTTGTGTCTATGACTCATCATGATGAGGTGAGGGACCACTCCTTGCCTATACCAGCATTCTCCAGCTGAGATCACTGGTGCGAAGCTGAGGTCAGGGCAGGATGGGGCCTTCCGGATATGCCAGATGGCTTGGGAATCCTGGTTGGTGATGTTTTAGCAAAAGAATTACAATTCAACTTTTCCCAGAATCCCGTTACCAAGAAGGGAAAGACACAGGCAAGCAGCCAGCTCTGTGTTCACTGCAGCTTTGTGTTGTGTAATTTCTGCAACCACTGTAGCCCCTCGGAGCCTCATGTTTCCCTCAGTGAGATGAAGGGATGGGACCCTCCTAGCTCCAAAATGTTCTAATGTTCTGATCGTCTGAAAATCCCTGACATTTCTTTTAAAATATGGACATGGAACTTTGAAAGGATATGTACTAAATTCCTTCCCCATCTCTCTCTCAAGAGTCTCCTTAAACCCTTTCTTTCTTTCTTTCTTTCTTTCTTTCTTTCTTTCTTCTTTCTTTCCCTTTTATTCTTAAGCAAGTATTTAATGGTGGTCAAAACAAAAGCATACTTTCAAGGTGGGAGAGTGTACAGGCCGAGAAGTGGCAACCGCCTCCTTAAACACTTTCCAAACAAGTGTATGTACATGTCAAAATGTCTGCCAATGCTCCAACCTGGGGAAGCAAGCTTTGGAGACAGACAGACAGACCTCAATCCTAGACCTTGTGTGAGAAATTGTGATTACATATATGGTTAAGATTCAGATACTGCCCCCAGGATCAGAAAGACAGACCTTGAAACAGATAAACTTCAAAAATCATAGTAATTAAGACATAAATGGGGCACTTGGGTGGCTCAGTCGATAGAGCATCCGACTTCAGCTCAGGTCATGATCTTGCGGTTCATGAGTTCGAGCCCCACATTGGGCTCTGTGCTGAGAGCTCAGAGCCAGGAGCCTGCTTCGGATTCTGTGTCTCCCTTTCTCTCTACCCGTCCCCCACTCACATTCTTTCTCGCTCTCAAAAATAAATAAACATTAAAAAAAGAAAAAAAAGACATACAAAAGTTAGACCCTCCCAGCCCTAATGCAGGAAGAAGGAAGCCAATTACCTTCCCTGAGGGAATTCAGGAAGGCTACCTGTAGGAGGTGTTCTGGGCGTGGCCAAGAAGAGAAAGCATCTGAGAAGGTCACAACCAGGCAGAGGTCACAGGGGAGTGAAGATGGCTGTGTTCCCAGTGGTGAGGAGATCAGCAGGGCTGGGGCAGGGGCTACACCCTAAAATACTCCTCCCGCGCTCCTGGGCCCTGGCTGGGAGCCAGACCCTGGCCTCTGTGTCGGGGCAACATTCTGAGAGAAGCAAAAGGGCAGTCACAAATTGCCATGTCAGAACTATCTGACTTACTCTTTATTGAGCACTTACTGAATGCAGACTCTGTGCACTTTGTACACATCACAGCCGTGTTTGCTAAAGTGTGCCAGGCCAGCCAGCAGGGCATAGGAGGGGACTGGAGGCAGGACACCAAGAACATTTTTATCTTAATAGTTACATTTTGGGGCGCCTGGGTGGCTCAGTCGGTTAGGTGTCCGACTTCGGCTCAGGTCATGATCTCATGGTTCATGAGTTCGAGCCCCGCGTCGGGTTCTGTGCTGACAGCTTGGAGCCTGGAGCCTGCTTCAGATTCTGTCTCCCTCTCTCTCTACCCCTCCCCTGCTTGCGCTGTGTCTCCCTCTCAAAAATAAACAAACATTTAAAAAAGTTTTTTTAATAGTTATGTTTTAAAGGGCGCCTGGGTGGCTCAGTCGGTTGAGCGTCCAACTTTGGCTCAGGTCATGATCTCACGCTCATGAGTTCGAGCCCCGCGTCAAGCTGTGTGCTGACAGCTTGGAGCCTAGAGGCTGCTTCAGTTTCTGTGTTTCTCTCTCTCTCTCTCTCTCTCTCTGCCCCTCTCCCACTCGCTCTGTCTCTCTCTCTCAAAAATAAATTAAAAAAAAAAACATTTTAAATAAATAAATAAAATAGTTACGTTTTAAGGGGCGCCTGGGTGGCTCAGTCGGTTAAGCGTCTGACTTTGGTTCAGGTGATGACCTCACGGTTCATGAGTTCGAGCCCCGCGTCGGGCTCTATGCTGACAGCTCAGAGCCTGGAGCCTGCTTCAGATTCTGTATCTCCCTCTCTCTCTGTCCCTCTCCCACTCGTACTCTGTCTCTCTCTCAAAAATAATAAATAAACATTAAAAACAATTTAAGATAAATAAATAAATGGTTATGTTTTATGTTCATCTTCTATGTGTGGCAGTTGGCATTCATTCTCACATAATTTAGTTATAAAACATGCTTTTCAATAGATTTAAGTTTTAAAAAGTGACTCAATTCAGGAGCGCCTGGGTGGCTCAGTCGGTTGAGTGTCTGACTCTTGATTTTGGCTCGGGTCATGATCCCAGGTCCTAGGATCGAGACTGCTGGGCTCTGCACTGAGGGTGAAGCCCACTTAGGATTCTCTCTCCTTCTCCGTCTGCCCCTCCCCTGTGCCCGAGCGCACTCTCTCTCTCTTAAAAAAAAAAAAAAAATCAAAAAGCGACTCAATGCAGAGAAAACTATTTATGAAGCAAACATACAGACGGATGGTACACGGATATTGAAAAGTTGTGAGGCGGGTACACAAATGACTGAAACGCAAGAAACACGGTGCTTTAACATCCAAGCATTTATCTCTCTCAGAGAGGAGTTGCAAGTCGCAGACACCCATTCAAATAGGCTTGAGCAAAATAAAAGAATGTGTCCTGACAAGGGTCTCTCATGGGACCCAGAAGAAGGAATGCAGATGTTGTTGGGCCTGGAGAAGGGCCTGGCCTGGAGGAGGAGGGCAGCAGGCCGAGAGGCACCGGCCCCTCCTCGCTCTAGGCTTCTGGGCTCCCTCTGGTCTCCGCTTTGCTCTGTGCGTTTCCATCTTCATGCGGGGTCAGTTTGTCCATTATGTTCCGGCCGTCACCCACCCTCCCCCGCCCCACCTCATACCCACAGACACACGCGTGTAGACACGCACGCACATGCACTGCTCCAGACTTGTATGTCTTCAGGTAAGTGGCCCGAACTAGCACCCCTGAAGCTGACTGCCTATTCCTGGGAGAGAACCTGACTGGCCCCCTGGAGCCAGACGCCCACGTCTCATCCATTCAGCTCCTATCAGAGGATCAAGGGGAACACCGTCTCAGAAAAAGGAGGCATCTGGGATGAGCAATCATCCTGACCAAGAGGTATCCGCCTCGGGATCCGTGGTTCAGAACAACCCTATGAGGTAGGAAATGTAGCTTACAGTTCCGCGGCAGGAAGTGACAGAGCCAAGACTTGAAACTGGGTCTGTGTGACACAGAGCTCGACTCTGGGGCGCTACCCACCTCGTCACCATCAGCGAAGTTCAGCCCACAGCTACCATCCCAGACCCCAGCAGGTTACTGGCCCAGTGTGAGGCATTTATCACACTCAGCCCGATAGACAGGAAATAAGGATTTCACTTTATGAGAGGACTATGGCTGGAAGGGAGGAAGACGTCTCAGGAGAATCACTGAGCTCTGGAGACCAGGGGAGGCTCTCCCAAGCCTCTGGGTCTGTGGCTGCCATATTCACACCACAGGTGCTCAGGCTGTGAGAAGAGACTCATTTGAAACTATTCACCGAAAATCATGAGCAGGCATCTAGAGACCTTCAAGAGAAGCTGACACCTCTCTTCTGCACCCAGAATACAAAGTGCCTGCTGGCCTTTGGGACTATAGCTGCTCCTCTCACCTTCTGGAAGCTAAATTAGGAGGCGGGCCCCCCCTCAGAAAGCAAGGTGGTGGAGGAGACCCGACAGGCCTCTCCCACTGTGGAGGCCTCACCCGCACACAGGTACTTCTCAGCCTAAGTCCCCTTTCTCGTGGGAGCCTCTGAGCAGCACGGTGCCCTGGATGCCCCAAACTTGGCTTTGAGGGGTCTTTGCCCACCCCCAGTGGGTAGCTGCCCCACGGGAGGTACTTCATCAAGGTTCACTGTTGAGACAGAGAGATGGATGCGGCTCTCGTGTCTCTCGCACTCCCACAGAGCCGACCCAAGCCTGAAGTGAGGCCCGTACAGAGGAGGCGAGCTCCCCACCTTAGCCTTTGATCTATGCACGTCTTATCATCTCTGGCACCTTTCAGGATGGGTCGTTGGATGAGTTGGAAAAGGTGCCACTGTGCCACTTCCCCTAAGAAGCGTCCCAAAGACCTTGTGCCTCTGAATGAGACAAGGTGGCAGTCTCCTGGCTCCAAGTTTTCCCCAGAGATACTGCCACACGGCCAGGGGAGTACCCCCTTTCCCCAACCACCCCCCCTTCTCTGCCATTATAGTGGTAAAGGATGCGGTTGCCAAAAAGTTCAGGTCACACTGGCTCGGGGCTGCTGCCCTGGTAGGGTGAACAGGGTGGCTCAGAGTCTGCCCCCAAGGTCTGCCTCTGGCCCTGACTCTCCCCACAGAGCTATCAGACTCAGGTACTCAAGGTGAGGTCATCAGCCAAGGTGATTATGGCACGTGCCCAAAGGTGGCTGGCGGGGCACATTGAAATTCTGGATTTCCCAGCAGTCTGGGCCTGCCATCACCCCCACCTTGGTGAGGTAGCCACCACACTTAAAGGGTCGCTAGTGCCCAGAGAGGAGGTGCCCAGACCACGGCAGAGACCCTTTTGTCCCCCGGGTCAGTTGATGTCCGTGGAAGATAAGCCTCTGGGCCTGGCCCCAACAATCAGGGACTAATTTTTGAGACAATTGGCAGGGTTCTGGCTGAGCGGCATGACCACTTCGGTGCCGGTCTCCGAGGTAGCCCGGGAGCACTTCCGGGTGCTGCGCATGTTGTAGAACTTCTCAGTGAGGTGCTTGCGAAACTTCTTGGTGAGGAAACAGTAGATGATGGGGTCTAAGACGCAGTTGGTGCTAAGAAGGCAGAGGGTGACCTGATGGGCATCGTTAACAGACTGGTGGAAGTCGCCCCTCCGGATGTCCAGCTCAGCCAGGGTCCAGGGCAGCTGCACGATGTGGTGGGGCACGAAGCAGATGATGAACACGGCCAAGACCGTGCAGACCATCCACAGAGCCCGGCGCTTGACTTCTGCGTTACTCTGCGGCTGCACCGGCTGCGTGAGCAGCCTGCGGATGATGACCAGGTTGCAGAAGAGGATGAGGAGGAAGACGAGGAAGAAGCTGATCACGAGGAAGATGTGAACGACGAGGACAGGCACGCTGCCCTTCTCATAATGCTCAAAGCAGCGCGTGATGTTGCCCGAGCCGGTCTGGTTCGGCACCACGTTGGTGGAATCTAGGACGAAGAAGTAGGAGGCGGCGGCCACTATGGCCACCCAGATAACCAGGGACACGGAGAAGCCACGCTTGCGGGTGGTGGCCTGGGCGGTCTTGATGGGCCGTGTCACCGCCTGGAAACGGTTGTACGTGATGACAGCCAGGAAGGCCACGGAGCAGTAGGTGTTGATGAAGAAGAAGCAGCCGGCCAGGTTGCACAGGAATCTGGGGAGAATCCAGTTGCCCTGGTTGTAGTAGTAGATGATCCACAGGGGCAGAGTGACCAAGAAAAGCAGGTCAGCCATGGTGAGGTTCACCATGAAGATCTTTATCTCGTTGAGTTTCTTAGAAGGGTACAGGCAGGCAAAGACCCACAGCACATAGCTGTTGGCAATCACCCCCAGCACAAAGATGATGCTGTAAACAATCGGGAAGAGGGTGTATCGAAACTCAGAGTCCACACGAGAAGAATCGCTTGGCTCCATCACTATGTGTGGAAGGGACAGCTGGTCATAGAATCCTGCCCTGGCCTGGAAGATCACACAGGAATTTTGGTTAATGAAGGATCAAAAGGGAACTTTCTCATTTAATCAGTTCCAACACTCTTACTTTGCACATTTAAAAAGCTCTAAGATCGGCGGTATCTTCTAATTAATTGTCAGTTTTTTTTTTTTTTTCTGAAGCAAATAATGGTGTGTTTTTAAAATGAACAGCATCTGAGGGGTGCCTGGGTGGCTCAGTTGGTTGAGCGACCGACTTTGGCTCGGGTCATGATCTAGCGGTTGGTGAGTTCAAGCCCCGCGTCGGGCTCTGTGCCAACAGCTCGGAGCCTGGAGCCTGCTTCAGATTCTGTGTCTCCTTCTCTCTCTGTCCCTCCCCGACTCATGCTCTGTCTCTCTCTGTCTCAGAAACAAATAAACATTAAAAAAATTTTTTAAATAAATAAAATAAAATAAAATAAAATAAACAGCATCTGAGATTCAATGAAATCAATGGCAATTAATGGCAAGAATGGCAACAATTCACGCTCCATTTTATTTATTTATTTATTTTTAATTTTTTTTTTTCAACGTTTATTTATTTTTGGGACAGAGAGAGACAGAGCATGAACGGGCGAGGGGCAGAGAGAGAGGGAGACACAGAATCGGAAACAGGCTCCAGGCTCCGAGCCATCAGCCCAGAGCCTGACGCGGGGCTCGAACTCACGGACCGCGAGATCGTGACCTGGCTGAAGTCGGACGCTTAACTGACTGCGCCACCCAGGCGCCCCTCACGCTCCATTTTAAAGCATACCTTCTTATTCTTTGACTTATTTTGACTTAAAGTTTTGGATCATCTATTTCTGATGATAAACTATATGAAAATGTATATTATAAAATGTTTATTTTTCTAACAGCTTCTGAATATTTTTCTCTTGATGAAATTTGAAACACAAAATTGGGTGGTAAATGTTCTCTGTATTAAAAAATAATCTAGGGGCGCCTGGGTGGCGCAGTCGGTTAAGCGTCCGACTTCAACCAGGTCACGATCTCACGGTCCGTGAGTTCGAGCCCCGCGTCGGGCTCTGGGCTGATGGCTCAGAGCCTGGAGCCTGTTTCCGATTCTGTGTCTCCCTCTCTCTCTGCCCCTCGCCCGTTCATGCTCTGTCTCTCTCTGTCCCAAAAATAAATAAACGTTGAAAAAAAATTAAAAAAAAAAAAATAATAATCTATGGGGTCGCCTGGCTGGCTCGGTCGATAAAACATGTGACTCTTGATCTCGAGATCAGTGAGTCTGATCCCCATGTTAGGGGTAGAGTTTCCATAAAAAATCACAATGATGGGGGCACCTAGGTGGCTCAGCAGTTAAGCATCGGGCTCTTGGTTTCAGCTAAGGTCATGATCTCACGGTTTGTGAGTTCTAGCGGAGCCTGCTTAAGATTCATTCTCTCTCTCTCTCTCTCTCTCTCTCTCCCCCTCTCTCTGCCCCTCCCACACACACTCTCTCTCTCTCAAAATAAATAACTTTTAAAAATCATAATGATAATAATAATTTATGTGTTCATACAAAATCTGGAAAGTACAGAGAATTCTATTTGGGTGACTCAAAGATGAAATATTAGCCAGTCATTAGAAAGAATGAGTTATATCTAATTGTACTGGCATGGAAAGTTGTCCCTGGATAATATTAAGTAAAAAAAATTTTAAAAATTGGTGTGGCCCCATTATATATATGTATATGACAGCTAGGAAATGATCTAGAAGGATATACCTTTAGGAGTTGACAGTGGTTAAATAACCTTTGGGAAGATGAGATGGGCTTGGTGCAAAGTTTATTTTATGCTTCTTCTGTTTGAACTTTTTAGGAGCATTTATTGCCATAGTAATTTTAAAAAACGTTTAATGAAAAAGAAAAGTGGGGGAGCCTGGGTGACTCAGTTGGTTACGCATCCAAATTTGGCTCAGGTCATGATCTCACGGTTCGTGAGTTCAAGCCCACATTGGGCTCTGTTCTGACAGCTCAGAGCCTGGAGCCTGCCTTGGATTCTGTGTCTCCCTCTCTGTCTGCCCCTCCCCTGCTTGTGCTCTGTCTCTGTCTCTCAAAAATAAATAAACGTTGAAAAAAAGAATTTTTTTTTTTTTTAAAGAAAACTATAGGAGTGCCTGGCTAGCCCAGTCAGTGGAGCATGCAACTCTTGATATCAGGGTTGTAAGTTTGAGTCCCATGTTGGATGCAGAGAATGCATAAAAATAAAATCTTAAAAAAAAAAAAAAAAGATAACTATATAGTGGAGAAACCCAGTAGACAATACTTCAATGAAATGATTAAGATTAACTCATCATTAGTAAGACACATCAACATCAAGTACCCTTGATATGATAAAAGATATAACATCATTTCTGTGGTTTTCTTCTCAAAACGGCATAATCTCAACCTAGTCATGAGAAAACTACAGACAGACGCCAATTGTGACACATTGTATAAAATGATCAGAAGGGTGAAGGTCATGAGAGATAAGGAAAGACTATGGAGCTGCCATAGGACAGAGGTTACTAAGGAGACATATAACTAAGGACACTGTGGGATCGTGTATTGTATCCAAGAACAGAAAAAGATCATTAGTGGAAAAACTGGTGTGACTCAAATAAGGTCTGTAATTTAGTTAATATCATATCAATGCTCATTTCCTGGTTTTGATGATTGTATCATGGTTTTATAAATTGTTAACATTAGGGAATGTTGAGCAAAGGGCACACATGCATTCTTTGTACTATTTTGCAACTTTTTTGAAGGCCTAGAATTATTTCAAAACAGAAAGTCTTTTTTTTTTTTTTTGATGTTTGATTTATCTTAGAGAGAGAGAGACAGAGCATGAGCGGGGGAGGGGCAGAAGGAAAGAGAGACACAGAATCTGAAGCAGGCTCCAGGCTCTGAGCTGTCAGCACAGAGCCCGATGCGGGGCTTGAACCCACGAACCGTGAGATCGTGACCTGAGCCGATCGTGACCTGAGCTGAAGTTGGACGCTGAACCGACTGAGCCACCCAGGCGCCCCAAAACACAAAGCCTTTAAAAGTAGAAGGTTTGGGGTGCCTGGGTGGCTCAGTCGGTTAAGCGTCCGACTCTTGATTTTGGCTCAGGTCATGATCTCGCGGTCCGTGAGTTCGAGCCCCGCGTCAGGCTCTGGGCTGATGGCTCGGAGCCTGGAGCCTGCTTCTGATTCTGTGTCCCCTCTCTCTCTGCCCCTCCCCCATTCATGCTCTGTCTCTCTCTGTCTCAAAAATAAATAAATGTTAAAAAAAGATTAAAAAAAGAAAGAAAGAAACAACTAGCTCTAAAAGCAGAAACAGACCCATAAATAGAGAGAACAAGCCATGATTGCCAGTGGGGTGGGGGGTGGAGGGATGGGCAAAATAGGTGAAGGGGAGTGGGGGAATGCAGGCTTCCAGCTACGGAATGAACAAGTCACAGGAAGAAAAGGTACAGTATAGGGAATATAGTCAATGGTACTTTAATAGTGTTGCATGGTGACTGATGGTGGCTACCCTTGTGGTGAGCATAGCATAACCTTAGTTGTCAAATCACTGTGTTGGATGCCCAAAACTAGTGGAACATTGTGTATCAACTATACTTCAATTTAAAAAAGAAAAAAAGAGGGGCGCCTGGGTGGCTCAGTCAGTTGAACGTCCAACTTCAGCTCAGGTCATGATTTCACGGTTCGTGAGTTCAAGCCCCGCATCGATCAGGCTCTGTGCTGACAGCTCGGAGCCTGGAGCCTGCTTCAGATTCTGTGTCTCCCTCTCTTTCTCTGCCCCTCCCCTGCTTGTGCTCTGTCTCTCTAAATAGATGATAGATGTTAGATAGATAGATAGATAGATAGATGAAATATCCCCTTGGGGGCACCTGGGTGGCTCAGTTAGGCATCGGACTCTTCAGCTCAGGTCATGATCTTACGGTTTGTAAGTTCAAGCCCCGCATTGGACTCTACACTGACAGCTCGAGGCCTGCTTGGGATTCTCTCTCTCCCTCTCTTTCTGCCCCTTCCCCGCTGGTGCGCACACACTTGTGCATGCGTGCTCTCTCTCTCAAAATAAATAAATAAACTTTAAAATAAATAAATAAATAATGGGACACCTGGGTGGCTCCGTTGGTTAAGCGTCCGGCTTCAGCTCAGGTCATGATCTCGCGGTTCATGAGTTCGAGCCCCACGTCAGGCTCTGTGCTGACAGCTCAGAGCCTGGAGCCTGCTTCCGATTCTGTGTCTCTCTCTTTCTCTACCCCTCCCCTGCTCACGCTCTCTCTCTCTCTGCCACAGACTGAAGTTGGTGGTTGTCTTCAGGAAAAGCACTTCAGCAATTGAGTCATAAGCTGAACTTTGTTTTGGATCATCATTACCACTTGAAAAAATGACTGACAAACTATGGTTTTTCAAACTTGAGTATCATACTTTCTCAAATATGAACAAAGTGAACCCACCACCTCACGGAAAACAAATGACAGTATGTGTTGCCAATGAGAAAATTCGAATTTTCGAGAAAACTGGTATCTTGGGAAAATTGTATTTGTCAGTATGAGTTTGACAGCTTCTTAATGCTTAAAGAATTTTCTGATGAGATTGGTGGTGATATGAACGAATGCAATTGTAAAAAATCCTTTAATGAAAGATCTGTATTTGGAAGACCTGCATAACTTAGCGAACGGATATTTTCCAAATGAGGAAGACAGGTTTCAAAATTATGCCTAGGTAAAAGAATCAAAGGCTGATGGGTGCCTGTGTGGCTCAGTCAGTTCAGCATCCGACTTGGGTTCAGGTCACGATCTCACGGTTCGTGGGTTCAAGCCCTGTATCAGTCTCTGTGCTGACAGCTCAAATCCTGGAGCCTGCCTCAGATTCTGTCTCTCTCTCTCTCTCTCTCTCTCTCTCTCTCTGCCCTTTCCCCACTTGTGCTCTGTCTCACTCTCAAAAATAAATAAAAATTTAAAAAAATTAAGAAAAAAAAGAATCAA